TATATATATATATATATATATATATTTACAAGCATTAAGAAAACAAGATGAAAAGTGATTGGAGCATAGAATTAAAATTTGGGCGTGAAAAAGAGATTATATAATGTTTGAAAAAGAGAAGGCCTACAAGTGCAGTGGCATGAGCAATGTATTAAAAGTAATGGGATATACACTGAATCATCCCTGCATATATAAAATTCTCCCTGCCCAAGTGGGTCCCAAGACCATGCAAAATATGTCACAAATGTGTGCAAACCATATCACCACTGCCTACCCTTTTGCTCAATCTATCTTAGACACAAACATTTCCACACAAGCTTCCAACAACAACATCCTCCTACCAACTTTGTCCACAAACTAGACAGACACGTCTCTTGTGATCACAAGAATGTCACTCTTAAATTCCGAGAACACTCCAGCATACAACATGAATGTTACTCAATCGTTGGAAACATCTATTCCAAAACAAAAATTATTAATTAGTCAATGGATTAATTAATTTCAAATTATGAAAGTGGTCATAAGTGTAAAATTTTAATGGAAGAACTGATTTAATTTGGTCTCATGCTGTAACAAAAACAATTAATTTGGTCTCATAGGATTGCTTAAAAAGATATAGGGAAACTTTTTAAATTTAAAAGATGAAATTGAAATAAAATAAAATTAGAATGAGATTATAAGTATCTTAGGCTAAAAGTTGTTAAAATAATTTTTTAGTTTCAAACTCATCCTAACTGATATAATCCAATTACTAGGTGGTAATCAGTATTTGTAGTGTATATTTATTCTTGTTTATATGTATATATGTTTATGAAGTTACAATTAATGGAGTGAATTGTGATATATATTTTGAGATATTTTAAAAGTTTAATTAATTTGTAAAATTCTTTTAAATTTAAAATAAATATTTTATTAATTATTGGTATTAAATTCTAATTAATACCAGTTTTAATGAGATATAATAAATTGACCATTATAGTTTTAATGATCAAATATTTTAAAATTAATTGGTTTTAATTATTGAGATTAATTAAAGTCATAACAATCGGTGTCCCTTCTATAAATATTGAGATTCAGTAGGCATCAGAAGGACTAAGCACTATTCTATTTTTTGTTCTTTCTTTTCTAAGTTAAAAACTTGCTAATTCGGTATCCTTAATCTAATATTGGGAAGATCCTGTTGTATCTATCTTGGGCCCTTACGTGGGAGTCTACAGATAAGTCTTTGTATCTTGGAACCTTGTGTGGAAGTCTGTAGATAAGTTCTTTAGGATAATGCATTACACGCCTAAGGAGTTCATGTCAAATGCATTACACGTCTCAGGAGTTCAAATCAGTTTGTGTTCTCAACATTCATGAACAAATATCTAAAGGATTTAAAGTTGTTTATGAAAATTCTCAACAAAATACACTATTACAACAAGGTGCACTTGGTCTCACAAATCCCAAGGCTAGTTGGAATTTGAATTCTCGGTAGTGGCATATGGTTGAGAAGCGGAGCCAACAATATAGATTATTTCAAGCTTTTGTTGTGACTATCATAATTGACATGAACATAAGCATCATGGTGGTGTCACTCACAAATTTCTTGGGCTCGAGTTACCGCAACACCTTAATTATGAATAGTATTACTCGTGAGAGAGAAGGAACCTTCATCTTCAAACACCTTCTTTATTCAAAATCGATCGATCTAGAGGGAATATTGTTAATAAAATTATTTATTAGTTTATTTTGATTTTAGATAAATTCTTGTTGCAATGCTAATTTTGCTTTGTTTGGATGGTGAGATTGATCAAGGATTCAGAAGCAGGAACTAGGAACGAGAGCATCATGGTCAAAGATGCTCAAACCAAAATTGGGATTGGCGTATCTCCAGCTATAATTGGGACACTTAAAGCCAAATGTGAACATTTAAAGTAAGTGTTAGTTTTATTTAGATAAATAGGTTGAGCACAACAAAGATGCCAAATTTGCTACTAGTCACTAGTATTGTGTTGTCATAAACCCTAGAAATAAGATTTATAGCATGCTATGTTGCGGGTTATTGGAGGCAGCATGAGCAACAAGGATTAAGGATTAAGAGAGAGAGAGATTGTAATTGTAATATTTTTATTACAAGATGTGCATTTGATTAAAGACCATAACACACAAGATATGTGACTTTGTTCACAAAGAGGCATGAATCATATGGCTAGGAGGTTGCAGTTACCAATCTGAGTTTTTCTATTTAGAGGAAATTTAACAATTTCATGTGTGCTCTTTTTTATGTGTTATGCACATTATTGAGAAATATTATGTATAATCGAGTTAAAGTGGCTTTGTGAAAAAAATATGAAGTGAAGTGATGAAGGG